ATCATTTTCGTGACGCAATAGGTTACCATAGCAACAGTATGACCTCCGGTTCTAGACTGAATTATTTTTTACTGGCTACTTTTCCGGTAAATTATACCCATTACTAGACCAGAACTGACTGAATTCTGTATTCTATCACACTCTAGTAAACTGCTTGAGAACCGTGTGGCCATCATTTCACAGCGACACCTACCCATGTAGTTAATGTAAGAGAATTCCACCCCCTCCTCCCTCCCTGGCTTAGGAGAGACCAGGAAGGGAGGTAGTGGCTCGGCAATGCATTAATGTTAATAAAGGGTCTTGATAATAGCAGGCAAGTCAAGAATTTGAAGAAAAGGATAAAACTTTTAACTTTCAAAGACATAACTCGACAGAGCCTACAGTCATCTGCAGTTTGCATGTGCGGGCTGTAATGCCTGTTACGTCGGCAAAACGGCCCGGCATTTTTCCACGCGTTTGTGAGAGCATTTATCCGGTGATAAGGGCTCCTCTCACATTTACAAACAACTACAGAATTCGGAACATTGTCGCACCTTATGTTCAGCAGATTGTTTTCCTGTTTTGTATCACGCCTTCAGTAGTTTCCAACTTAAGATAAAAGAGGCTATTCATATTCAAAAAGAACAACGCTCTTTGGATCAACAATTATACCATGTAAATCTAAAACTATCCTTATTAGACTCTTATAATAAGCCATTTTTACAGTTTTATGCTTAGTTACCTGGCCATGAATGCAAGCGAGGCTGGAGGTGACCTTGCTTTCATACAGACCTCCCTGCTTTTCTCATTTAACATGTTTAAATGCCAACTAGTTAGCATAATAAGAATAATGATAAGAACAACTTGATTTACACAACAAAAAAAGTAACGTCTGTATCAAAGCAAGGTCACCTCCAGCCTCGCTGCCAATCAAAGGCCAGGTCACTAAGCTGACAACTGTAAAGTGGTCTATTCTCATCTTTCACACTTTGCGTCATTTTGTTGTCAAATTAGCATTTTTCTTTTATTTATTATAAATTCAACCTCCAACGCTTTGTCTGGATCAATCAACTGTTGGTTCTGTTGAAACATGTCTTCGAAACTCTTAAGTTTTGTCGTTTTCTTTAAATTAATGGCAGTACTTCCCAACTAATGTGCAACGCCTCCCTGATGTTAAGTTGGAAAGACGTGGGGGCGATATCAAGAATTGAGAAACAATTTTTAAAGCACAAAGCTTTACGTGTATCTGACAAATTGATGTGTTGGGAGATCGGGAAGTTCTCTGAAGTGTAAGATGTCGATTTGTCGCGACGAAACAAGAGCTACATGCTACGGGAAAATTTATAAACCATACGTGCACGAGAACGTAATGTTTGGGGTATCGCATCTTTGACACCGATTAAGTTCTTGATCTTGAAGGTAGCAAAGACCAACTTAATCCTTATTTGCAGGAAAAGGGCGGCAAATAATTTTGTTCACAACACGGGATGGAAACTGATTCTTCTCTCCAAAATATTAGTAAGGTCGTTAACATTGCTGTGGAAGCCAGTCCGGGTGTTCTTGATTTTAACAGTCATGTCGACCACCGTTCGTTTTCGACCTAATTTGTAGGGAAAGGCCAACAAACAATTTTGTTCACAACATGGGATGGAAACAGATT